AAACTGGGCGACAAAGGTGCCCAGAAACTGGGCGACATTTGGCACCCTAAAAAGTGGAGCAGGCGACAAAGGCGCCCAGTTTCTGGACACCCTACATTTAGAGTGTAGGGGCGCCACACAAGGCAAGACCTTTCGCCGGGAGCCTATCAAGTGCTGGCCTGCTGGCCTCAAAGTTTGCTCACCCGTTAAGTAATGGCGGGCCTCGTTCGCCTCACCCCGCCCTCACCTGCCGGGGACATTTACATTCGCCTCGGTTTGAACAGTCGCCGCCTCCAGGGGCTGCCGCTCGGCTGCCGCTCGGCTGCCGAGCGCTGCCAGGCTGCCGGGGCCCGCCGGCCCGCAAACCCGCGGCACAGCCGGGCCGCCGGGCCGTCGCCGGGGGACGATTCATTACTTCTATGACAGCACTCGGCAAGCAGGCGAAGCAGGCCGTGAGCTTCGCAAGCCGCCCGCACGGCTCGCTGCGCTGCGTCGCCGCCCTGGACGGGACCCGAACCGACACCCATGACGCCAGCAGAGGTTTCCTCGTTCGGAGGGCAGACCTGGGCAGGCCATTATAACGGTTTGAGTGGCAACTACACCTGCTTTGTGCGAGTTCCACTAGAGTGATGGCGAGCCGCGGAGAACACTGCGCTCCATGTCAGTGCTCGGCCCGGAACGCGACCAAACTCGATTCAGGACGCGAGAGTTCCTCGTCCGGTACCAACACGCGTTTGGTTCGTGTTGGGTAGAGCGCCAAAAGTCCCTAAGTGAGCAGTCCTGTCGGCCTTGCTTGAGCTCGCCGCGCCGGCCTGCCCCCTCGGCCTGCATACTGCTGTAATTGCACGGTAAAAACGGTTCCTGGTTTTCCCAGGAACTCCCTGGAAATCACCTATGCCTTCACCATTAGCTTCCTGGGAAAACCAGGTTCCGTTTTTACCGTGTGCCGTTGTCCTGGCTAAGCTGGCGGGGCTCGCGCGGCAGGCGGGGCTGGCGGGGCTGGTGGAGCAGGCGCGGGGCAGGCGAGGCTGGCAGCACGGTGCTCGCTGTGTACGCATCGCCCTACGTGTCGCCTATTACTCTATTATGAAGGGGTCACGTATGCGTCGTTCGCCTTTACGGGCGGGGCGTCCGCAAGCAAGCGAGCAGCAACTAGAGAAACGCCCGTAAAAGCCGGGCGTGTTTCTTATGAGCAGTCTTCGGCGGCCTCGCGCCTTTGCCGTGCGCCTTGCCAGGCGCAGGCAGAGGCTGCGGGCCGGACGGGGGTTTACACCGACCTGTCCGGCCATCGAGAGCAAGCCGGACGCCGGGCGCTAAAAGATTCAGTAACAACAAAAATGTTCCAGCCGCACGTCGCGCCCCCCGGCCCGGTGGGGCCCGGTGGGGCCCGGTGGGGCCCGGCCTCCGCGTATCGAGCCGCTTGTTGTGGGCAGAGTGCGCTGCACCACGCCGTGCACGCCGTGCGGTGGCGCCTTTGTGCGGTCGGTGGACTCGGTGCCGCCGAGGTGGCAATGGCAAGTCGCGATCCACCACCTTCCTCTGCGCGGCGCGGCGCGCGGTACAGACGGGTGGGGGGAGGGGCGGACCACAGAGCTTAGGGCGCTGCAGTCATCCGAGCGGCGGGCGGTTTGTTTGTATTAATAGTTTGCAACCGGTAAAGCGAATTCAGGTCGACGTCGCGGGTGGAATTGCGCGGCTGCGCTCCACTACGCTTCCGCCGGCTTTGCCCGCTTATCCCGAACACGGCGGGGCGGCGCCGCCATCGGCTGGTTTAGCGTTCCAATTTGCCTTGAAATCCAGCCGCTCTGCGTGCGTGAGCGAGTACACCGTGCAGCGCGCCGCGTGCAGCTCGCGACACGGACTTGCCAGTGGAGTGAGGGGTGAGTTTGTTGTGCCTGGGGCCGCGCCGCGCTCCCCACCCGGTGAAGCGGGGCCGGGTCTTGTGGGTCTGCGCGTGTGGCGCGGCAGGCGTCAATATCCCTCTGGCAGCCCGCACTGTGATTTATCCAATTTGGCCTCACCTCGGGCTGCAGCGGGGCCGGGCGGGACTCCGCGGACGGACTCCGCGGGGAGGTTTCCTCTCTCTCGCACTCGCGGGGCGTCCCGTGCAGGTGGGACGGAGACAGCACCGACGGCCGCGCTGCGCACAGCCACCATCTGGCGAGACTCTGGTTGTCGGGTCGCGGCACTCGTGGCCGCCTGACTGCCTGTGCTGTGCCTCGCCCCGGAGCGAGGGGCGAGGGGCGGCGTCGGCCGAGAGCGTCGTCGTCGCCGGGAGCCCCTGCGGACGACAGCGCGACAGCCACGGCTACGCGCTGCCCGGCTTGGTTTTACAGTGGCTCTGCTTTATTTTCTGTTTGCCTGAAAGCTGTTCGGGCGGCCGTAAAGGAGGGTCCTTTCCAATGGATGTCGGATCGTAACCTGTGCTGCGCGTCTTGCGCGTCTTGTGCCTCGATGTGCCCCCACCCCCTCTCCCTCCGAGACGCTCGCGCCGTGGGAAAAACGCGGGCGACGTGCGAGGCAGCGGCGACAGCGCGCGCCCAAACTTTGGCGCCGGCTTCGGGTCCGGTCGCGGGGACGGCGGCGTGTGCTGCAACAACACGCTGCAATTCCGGGTGCATCTGGCGCGATCTGGCGGCGCAGCGGCGCAGCGGGGAGGGCGGCAGACGATACGGTTTACGGCAGCCAGTCTCGCATTCCGGCGCGTCTGTCTGCAGCAGTCTGCAGGCACTTGGCTGCCTCCCGGCCTCGCACCACCGGGAGGGTCTACACGGCCTCGGCGTCGAGATCCAGGTTCCTGCCGAGGCCGGGCCTCACCGCCTACAACCTACACCACACGCGCGTCGCGCTCTTGGTCTCGGGGCGGGTCGCTGCGGCGGGTTGCCTCGAGGGTTTGCCCGCTGCGGCTTGCCACGGGGTACAGGGCTGCCGGCTGGGCTGCCTGCCAGCGTGGCGGCCGTGGCGGGCCCGAATCAGAAGGGAGAGTTAAGATTAACCACCACGAGCCGTGCCTGCCTGCCCGCCCGCCTGCCTGCCTGTCTGGGCGGTGGTTTGTTTGGCTGCTCGCGCCCCTTCCGGTCGGGGATGAAGCACAACCTGCGGTGGAAGGCTGGGGCGGGCCGGGGCGATCCCGCGAGGTAGACAGTCTGAAATGTGTTGGTGCACTGTTTGGCACGCCCTCGCCCCGCCGCGCCCCGCCCGCAACACACTACTACGCAGCGCCGCTCGGCGCCAAGGGACGCGGCCTATCGCCAAGGCCAAAGGCGGAAGTGGCAAGGCGGGGCGGGGTGCGGGGCGGGGCAGGGTGGGGCAGGGTGGGCCAAGCGAACGGAAAAGTTGGCCCGGCGAGTTTGGAAGCAGATAAAGTTGCCTGCGAGCAGCGCGCGGGACAGGTGTGAAGCTAAGTGGGCGGGTGGCGTCGCTGTGCGTCGCTGGCGGTGTCCGTGGCGCGTCGCGCGTCGCGCGGCCGGGCAGCGCGCCGCGTGCGCACTCGGGACTCGCTGGGGCGCGGCGGGCGCGGCGGGCCGGCAGGGACTTTAACTAAACCAGGCGACCGGCCGGCCTAATGAGCGGGAAAGGACGAGCAAGGCGGAGAGCGGCAGGAAGCGGGACCCTGGCGGCCCTGGCGGCCCTGGCCCGCCCGGAGGGTGCTAGGGTTGCCACCGCCAGGGTTGCCGACGCTAGGGTTGCGGGGATCCTCTCCAGAGGGCCCGGCGCTCGCTTCGCATTAACACTCCAGCAATCTATGAAATATCTCGCAGAGATACCCTCACGTCCTTGCTCGCCCCCTTTCGGTGTGACCCAATTACAGATAGTAGATCTCCGCGCATTGTTCGTCCCGCCCGGCGAGCGCTGGTGGGGCGCTGCCTGCTCGGGCGCCCCGCCGGCCGGACAGCCACCCTTTATCACGGCGCCCCCATTAACGCGTTCGATAGCGTCTCGCGGAAGTCGCGCGCCGTCCGCGACGGTCATCGCCGAGGAGCAGCGCGGAGCAGCGCGGAGCAGCGTCGGAATAAATGCATCGCAATCGCCTCTGTTTACGGCTGGCCGAGCTGGGCGCCGTCACCGACTGGCTTTTATCCCGAGTGGCGCCCGGGAGAGAGAGAGAGAGAGAGAGAGAGAGAGAGAGAGAGAGAGAGAGGCGACGCCGTGGTAACGGTGCGGTGGTGGCCCGCCCCGCCCCCCGCCGACCCTAAACTAGCTCGCGCGTCGCTTCCGAGATGATTCCTGTTGGCGCGGCATTAGTCCAAGTGCTCGGCGCTGAGCGCGAAAGCGCGGCTGGAGGCTGCGCGGCTGGAGCGCGTGCGGATCCGGAAGGCAGGTGCAAAGAGAAGGAAAGGAGCGGCTCTCCGCAGCATGCGCTCGCTCGCGCCCCGCTTGCGGTGGGGTCGCGCGATCCCCGCAATGTACACACTACTTGTTTGAATAGGAAGCTCGGCAAGGCGCATTGTTTAGCTCAGCCAGCCACTTAGGATGATGTCAGACAAAAGGTCTTCGCAAACCCCGCGCGCCAAGACGCCGACGAGGACACACGGGGCACACAACGCGAGCAAACAAAAACACACGCACACACACGCACGCATCGGGTGATAGCTAAAGCGATGTTTTCCACAGTGATGGGGAAACAGGATGAACCACGCCATGAGTGTGAGCGAGCAACAGTGTGGTTCGGAATCAGTCCAGTAAGAAGCTCCGGCACCGGCGCTATGGGGAGGCCAGGGGCTCGGCAGTAGTTGGCGCAGAGCTGTTTAACGGAGACGGCGAATTAAAATCGGTTGCAGTCGTTCGCGCGCAGGCCGCAGGGAGGGTACATTATTAAAGTTGGCTCCGCGAAGACTTTGCGGAACTCCGGGCGCGGCAGTCGCTGTCTTTGCGGTCGTGGCGGGCCGGGACGGGCCGGGACGGTTATTCGAAACTAACCGCGCCTCCCTGCAGCGCCTCGCCTCGCCGCGCCTGCTCGCCTCGCCTCACTTGTCGCCCGGAGAGCTGGAAGGCGGGTTAATTAGTTTGTTCGCTTGCAGACCTGCCCGGGGACGACAGCCCCGTGCTGATGGCCGAGAAGCAGCGCTACTCCATCGGCGACACGCTCCGCGCCAACTGCACCGTGCGCGGCGCGCACCCCGCCGCCAACGTCACCTGGCTGCTCAACGACGTCAAGGTGAGTCCACATCGTCCACGTCGTCCACGTCGTGCGCGATGAAAGAGGGGGAAGGGACGGCCGGGGCGAGTGCGGGACATTCCTGGCACCGTGTAGTGGGCATTCCGCGAAAGAGTCGGCCGCCCTGGCCTGCCCGGCCTGCCTGGCCTGCCTGGCGCGCCGGGGGTGGTCAAGGTACAAAGGCGCGGTGGAGAAGGACGAGCCCAGGGGGGCGGGGTGGGGTGGGGCGGGGCGGGGCGGGCGGCCAGCGTCCGGCAGGCCCGCGCGGAATGCCGCCCCTTCACGCGCATGGCGTGGTCAGGGCGGCCGGGAGGGGAGGGGGAGGGGGGAGGTCATTTTCTGGTGAAACATGGCGAGGCGTGGTCCGGCGGGCAGGACCCATGGACCCATGGACGCGCGGTGCCACGCAACGCCCGCCGAGATTTATTCCACTTTTTGCACATTTTGTTTTCGTTTTCGCTTCTTTTTTTAAGGAGGGGTTGTTTACTTTGTGTCGCAATGTGCGCGCGACTTATTGCAATTGGCGGGTGGCGGTGTCAGCCCGGCGTGAAACGGGCTGAAATGGCTGCTGTTGGCCCCGCCCCACCCCGCGCCACGCCCCCGCACTACGCCGCACGCAGCCCCGCCGCTGGATGGCGCCGCTGAAACTTGAGTTTGCTTTGTGGGTCTGCAAATAGCCGGGCCGCCCCGGACTGCGGGGCTCTCCTTCGGCCTCGGCTGGCCCGAAGGGTCGCGCTGGATCCCAGTCGATAAGTCAAAGCGCTGCGGCCAGCGCGACCGCGGCTCGTGTGGCGGGCCAGCTCAGGCCAGCCCCAGCCTGCCCCAGCCTGCCCCAGCCTCGGGGCTCGCCTCGCCGGCGAGTTTGCGGTGATGACAAAGCCATTAGCAGTCTGCTCGCCAACAAACAATCTGCCGAGCGATTCAGGAAGTCGGTTTGTCGTTCGGTTTCTCTCGCACCGTCACGGAGAGACTCATAGCGCGTCTAAAACAATGGGTGACCCACTGTAAAATTTTGTGTATATAGTGATTGTGTGAATGAGCAAGTATATGCAAGAAAGATTCCTGGCGTTTTTGCCACACATATTGCCTTCTTACAGGCTTTTTTTGCTACCTGAATGTGAAATGTTGTCAAATATTGTACAATGAATGTGGGAAGCTGTTCCCCCCTTTAGGTCTGAGACAGTGCGACGAAACGACTACTGAGTCGCTCGGCTCGCCGCATCGCCGCGTCGCGCCACCAGCAGGCTGATTTCCGACGAAAAGTTTCCTCGCTCTGTCTCCGTCGCATTCAATGGTGCGTCCCGTTGGGGTGCGAGAGAGACAGTGGCGCGACCAGTGCACGACTGCACGGCCTCGGCCCGCCGCCCCTCCTCCTCCCTCTCGCTGACACCCTCGCACGGCTTCCTTTCCTCCAGAGGATGCATGGCTGCAGAGGAGTGCACACAAAGCGATACACGCGACCCCCCCAGCAGCCTGCAGCCCGCCTGCAGCCCGGCCTCTGCACTTCCCAGAGCTCGCGCGCGTGGCCTTTGTGACTGAGGGATGCTTTTTGCTGGACGATAAGCTACCGCCAACGTTGTGGTAAAACAAAGAAAGCGAAAACATAAAAAAACATGAAAGAAGCAACGCATACTCAAGCACGCCCCTACACGCGCGCGTGCACAGACACTTTTTCACGGTGCCTCGGCGAACGCGTCCCCTGTTGGTGCCCAAATGGGACACATTTTGAAAGCAATGCCAAGCCGAAGGAACACCTCTGCAATCAGAGACCGAACTTGTTCCGCTAGGTGTTGTTCCTGGCTCGGTTGGTCCGCCAGCTCTGCCGGCCTGCAGTGCCTGCACCGGCTGCAGCCCCCTCGCTTGACAAGGGACGCTGCGGCCCGGACTCGTAAACCACACACTTTTCTCATTTCACATCCCCCCTGCCTCCACCCTTGCGGCGGCGCGAGAGAGAGCGGGGTGGCGGGGTAAAGCGCGGCTATCCGTCAAATTAAAAATTAAGTCATTACAACGCGCCGCGTCAGCTGCTGCCTTGCGGCTCGGCGGCCTGGCTCGGCCTCGGAGGTCTGGCCCGCTGGCTGGGCTGGGCGCACCGTCGGCAGGCTGGTGGTGGCGACGAGCCCCTTCGACGCGCTGTCTCTCTCGCACACGTATGAATGTGAGGGAGACAATTCTTCGGAATCGCTTGGCTGGTCGTGGCGTGGTGGAGTCCTTACGAGTTGGGGCAGTGGGGATGGACCCCGCTGGACCAAAGAGACGGGTGAACGCAAACTGAACTCATTGTTCCTCGAATGGGACTCGAACCAAACACGTGATGCGAGACTCGAATGCTTTTTAGCAGATGATACCTTTACCTATTTCAAAACATACCCAGAAAATAACGAGGGTCATTCAAAGGATCTTATCTGGGCGCTCCTATTCAAAGTATCTTATCTGCAACGCACGCGAATTTCACTAAGTTTGACCATTTGGGACGGATAAGAGGGTACGCGGAACATATTTCTACACACACTATTTATTTCTTCGATCTTTCATCTTCAAGTTTGTGTGACCACAATCCCAAATTATTTTGATTTGTAGCCGGCTCAAATGATCAAACTTGGTGAAATTCACTCGCTTTACAGACAAGGTAGGTTTACGCCAGACCGCGTCTTGTCGTAACAGGCTTCGCGATGTCTCGCTGCCTGTTCCTCCAATCCACTCCTGGCGTACCTACCTTGGCCTGCGGCGCTAGCCTGCCTGCGGCAGGCAATGGCTTGTCCGTTGTCGGTTATTTTTTTTAACTTGTTGAATGCTGGGGGGCTCCACCCCCCAGACCCCCCTACATTGTAAATAGAGTTGTTTTATCTACAGATAACACGATCTTGACCCTTGTCACTTTTTAACTTGTCGAGGCTGGGGGACTCCGCCCCCCAGACCCCCCTTTCTCCAAGACAGAAGTGGTCTATCTGCAGAAATCTCTGTTTTTCGCCGTTTTTTAGGTGTTTTTCGCCTATAAAAACTGAACCAGTTGAGCTAGGATGGTGAAATTTCGCGTGTGCCGAGCCAAGGACATACCTAAGAAGTGTGCAAAATCTCACCGAGATCGGCCGAGCCGTTCAGGAGGAGTAGTGCGGACAGACAGACCGACAGACAGACAGACCGACAGACAGACAGACAGACAGACAAAACTTTTCAACCCCACTGGAGTAACAGGCTTCGCTATCGCTCAGCCAATAAGATTCTTTGAATAGGAGCACGATAAGATCTTTTGAATAGATCCTCGACAAGACACTTAAAGGTGTCAGCTAGCTTCCTGGTCTGACTCAACAATGCTAATACGACGTTTATTGACGAGTGCCAGTGTTGAATCATTCCCGCTAATAAAATGGAAAGCACAACAAACGGGCTGCTTGTTTGCCAATCGGGCAGGTCAGTGAGGTCGACCCTGCCCCACGCGCCACCCCCCGCCTGCTGCCTGCCACGCCTGCCAGGCCTGCCACGACAGCGGACGTCGCGACCCTCCTTGGCCCGCCCTGCTTGCTCGCGCCATTTCACTGAGCAAACGGGACAAAAAAGTAATTTATTTACGTTGCGTTGGCAGGCGCGGCACGTCCGGGCCGCTCATTGGCCGCCTGCTGTGTTGGCAGCACCGCGCAGCACCGCCGCGTCCTCACCTGACGGGGGGAGGGGGGGGGGCGTATTGGTTTCGCCGCAATTCAAACAACGCGCTGGCCGGCCGCTGGGAATCGTTACTTGTTTCCCCTCTACTCTAGATTTAATTAGAAACGGACTCGACGGCGGATTGCACGGCGGAGGTGTGCTGCGAGCCAACAATGCGCTTGCCGTGGGATGAATAAATAAATTCCCTTTTTCCTCTACCGGGGTTGGCGACACTGTTCGCACCAGCGGGGGGCGCTCTCCTTGAATCGCTCACCGTGAGGCGGGGAAGAAGGTGGGAGGAACGGGCCGAGGAGCGGGCCCGCTTTTTGTGTCCTTTTCGGTCCCACGCCTCTGACAAGTGTCTTATTTTCCACGTTGAAAGCGACTCCCGCAGAGTCCCGCGGCCGCCAAAGTAAACCATGATGATTTACGGGGCGTTCCAGCGGGGCGGGGCGGGGCGGGGCGGGCAGCGGGCGTTCGGGCCGTTCAAGGGCCGGCCGCTCCGCCAAGGCTCCAACGCGCAGCCGCGCGCACAGCGCCGCGCCAAAGTCTCTCGCCCTTCCGCGCGGCAAACTTTCGATTTACGATCCATGACATTAATATTTGATGAGCGAATAACGACAAACAGCACGGGCCGCGCCATTTTAGTGACACTACAAAACGGACCCCCTCCCCCTGCTCAACGCGGCTGTAGTGTTGCTTTTGTCTGTTGTTATTTTGGCGCGTCTGGCAGTGTGCTCCACCGCAATGACGGAGGGCGGAGAGTCCTCCGGTGCGCCGCGCCTGTCGGGCCGGCCGCGCCGGGGACCCAAAACCCCCCGGCTGATCCCTCTGGGTGGATTCCCCCTCCCCCTCCGACCTGACAGCCCGGCGGCGCGGCGGCGGAGCGCGGAGGGGCCCTTGACACATCGTCACCCAGGCCGCGGCCAACGCATTGCACACTGGCTCGGCTACGCACTGTTGATTTACGGGAACATCGTTAACGCTAAGCAGCGAGCGCGCGCTCAACGTGTGTGCGTGTGTGTGCGCTCAGTGTGTGCGTGTGTGTGGTGGTCATTCGTGGGATTGAATCCTGACGCGGTGCATCTGCCTGATTCATGCTTTGCACGGGCCCTCCGCGCGCGCGCGCGCGCGTATGTGTGTGTGTGTGTGTGTGTGTGTGTGTGTGACGATGGTCCCCAAGAGCAATCACTGTCTCATGGTGGCCGCGGTGCGTCCGTGAGTCGTGTGTGAGTGTGCCGGCGTTGTGCGCCGCGAACCACCAGGCCCGATCGCCGATCCTCCGCCTCCGCTCACCCCACACCGCCACACACTAAATGCTCATGGTCTTTATGTCCATAACTAGGGCCGTTTTTGTG